CACGCCGCTCGCAAGACGTCTGCAAGACGCCTCTCCGAGGCGCCTGTGATTCCGGAGGAGGGCGGAGGAGGGCAGAGGGCGGAGGGGGGGCAGCGTGAGGAGGGCCGAGAAAGCACGAGGGCGCTTGGAAGAGGGCAGAGGGGAGGGGCCCGAGGGCGGGCGGAAGGAGGAGGGGGGGAGGGGGAGGGAGACGGCGAGGGCGGCGGCAGGAAGACGGAGGGGGGGAGGAGGCGGAGGGAGGAACAGGACGAGGGCGCGGGGAGAGGCCGCGGAGGATCGGCGCCTACTGCCCGTCCACGTCGATCACGTCGTCCGGCTTCTTCTTCGCGCCGTCCGCGCCGCCCGGCGGCGCGTCTCCCGGCGGCGGCGGCGGCGCGCCGCCTTTTCGGGGTGGCGGGGGAGGGGGGGGGGAGGGGAGGCAGGGGGAGGGAGGCGGGGGGAGGGAGGCATGGAGAGGGCGGGGGGGGGGGAAGGGAGCTTTGCCCTCGAGGGCCCCGAGGCAGGATATCAGCACGCGGCCTCAGGCCGAGCCAGGAACTCAGGCGCGGGGGGAGAGGGAGGAGGAGTGGGCGAGAGGAGGGAAGCGCAGCGTCGTCAGATCCAGCTTCCGCAGGGGGCCCCCCTCACGTGCGAACGAGGCGCAGGGCTGCGTGCGACAGGAGGGCGCGGTGCCTCCTTCGCACGGCGCCAGTGCAAACCGCCCCAGAAGGCAGGGGCAAAAGGGAGGGGGAAGGAGAAGGCAGGGAGGGGAGGGGAGGGGGGGGGGCGAGGAGAAAGGACGGAGGTACTGGCCATCGCTCGGACGTCCGTTCCCTGTGTTTTTTGTCGGTTTTGTGCGTGTTTTTTTCGCCGAATGATCAAGGATGCTCCTCGATGGCCCTCACCGAGGAAAAAATTCACACGTCCGAGCGATGCCGAGGGTAGGGGGGAAGCTCGCTCGCTACCTTCAAGTCGCTCCCACGCAGCGGGCCCTCGGGGGGATCGAGGAGCAGCCGCAAAGAGCCCCCGCGGAGGGGAGGGAGGGCGGGGAGGCGGCGGACCCGCGTCTCACCACCACGGCTACCAGACGAGCGCGTGCCACTGCTCGCAAAAGTGACCAATTACTCGCAAACGGCCTGGATGCCCCACGGGGGATCTACGAACAAAACAATTACATCAGAGCAGGCGTGTTTTTTGACGTTCGCGAGCAGTGGAACGCGCTCGGCGAGCTACAGGAGGCAAGGGGCGACCGACCTGCGGTAGTGTTTTTTTGTGCGGGGAACCCGCTGCGCCCGCCCAGCAAAACACTACCATGCAGTAGGAGCTCGACCGCAAAAAAACTTCTGCGAGAAGCCCAACTCTGAGACCCCAGGGCGCCCGTTGATTGTTGGTGTGGGAGCGTCACGCGTTGCATTGCAAAACCATCGAAACCCAAGAAACCCAGGGCACCCTGGAGGCAAGCAGGGTGTTTCTTGGCATGGGTTTCCTCTGTAGGACGCCGCCCTGGTGGTCGTGGACACATGGCGGAAAGCGCGGCGGGGCGAATGGCAGGGAGCACACCAGCCAGACACGAGCAAGGACAACGGAGAGGGAGCGGCAAGCGAGTTATATGCCCACTCTGGGGACCTTCCCGGAGCCACTCAGTCCACTCGTGCGTCGAAGCTGCGTCGAACGTTCGTCGACTGGAGTCGACCTTGAATCGAACCCGAATCGAACTGGAGTCGAACTGGAGTCGAACTGAAGTCGCACTGGAGTCGAACTGGAGCTCGAACAAAGCCGTTAGGTGGGCCCCAGGAAGGTCCGCCAACGAGCATCTGAAGCAAGGGACGTTCAGCCCCAGTGTGCAGGGGAGGAGCGCGTTTCTTTGTTCGCGGCGATAACGGGCGTTCTGGGGGGGAGGGCCTGGGGGGGGGCATGCGTAACGCCCAGCCCCCCGCCGTGCGCGCGGCGGCAGTGCCGGGGACCAGGGGCCAGAGCGTTACGTTAGAGGGGTGGGAGGCGGGGGGGGGCCATAACGCGCGTTATGGCCTAAGCAGTGAAGAAACAGGCTCGAGCCGGGGCCGCAGTTGATGAGGGACGGAGGGGATGGACGGGAAGGCGAAACAAGGAGGAGGACCGCAAGGCCTCTGTTAGAGATACCGGGCTCAGCAGCTCAGTACAGTTGGCCCGTATCATACGGATGCGCGATAAGGATGCAAGGGCCTTGGGCGCCCATTTCGAAGCTGTTCGAGCGGGGCGCAGCCAACGGAAGTGGCCAGGGATGGACCGAGGAGGCAAGGACGCAGGGGTACCCTTCGGGAGGTTGCCCATCGTTCCTATGCGGGTTGACTGTACGTCTGCAAGGGGGGTTGCTGCTTCTCGTTCTGGACATGGGTTAGAATCAAGCGTACTTCCCTGTTGCACGACATCGCACAGCGACGCCTGGGGACCGCACAGGGGTCCCGAGAAGCGAGCGACGCGAGGGCCAGGGAGGGGCACCAAGGGCGGAGGGACCACGACCGGAGGAGGAGCCAAGAGGCTCGAAGACATTCCTCCGCAGGGGGGGAAGGGGGCCAGTCAAGCGCAGTGGAATACAGTGCGGGCGCGGCCGCAAGAAGCCCTCGCAAGAAACCCAACCCTGAGAACCCGCGCGCGAGGTGCACCTGAGGGGGAACGCGGAGCGCCCTGAACGCAGCAGCTCCTTCAACGGCTGCGGGAAGTCACCGCGCAGCGCGACGAGCGAAGAAACCCAGGATACCCTGACGAAAAGCACATGGTTTCTTGATGCGCGCCCCCACTGTGTACATTCGGCGGCAAGCCCGGGGGAGAAATGAAAAGGGGCGGGCCTTCTCGAAGAACTGGACGTCCCCCAGCCTTCTGAAAAGTTTTCTGGGCCTTCCCCGAAGACGCCAAAAACTGCTCAACAAGCGCGAGAATTTGGTTCTGAGAAGTCCCGCCGCCCTCCGCGAAGGCCTTCCCCTCTCTCACCTCCCCCGCTCGCTCGCCGCCGGGATACAAGTTCGGGACAACAGGATTGTGGCATATTTTCCGTGTCGGCAGATGCAGTCCGCTCCACCGTGTGGCCATCCGGGGCAAACGAGCAGCGAAGTGACAGGCGTGCAGGACGCGAGCGTCGCATGCACGCGAAGGGGCCACCGAGCTTCGTGCCCCCGCGCCCTGTGGCGCGCGCCCCGCGCGGCTCTTCTTCGCGCCCTCGCGCGCCCCGCGCGGCCGCCCAATGGAAAGGTGGCAGCCGCTGCGGCCCAGGCCGCCGCCCGCGACGCGCGACTGTATCTGCGCGCCCCCGCGGGTGACCAAGGAGGGGCCACTGGCGGTCCAACATTTGTGGCCCGGCATCGTGCTGGGGCATCATGCCCGGTGCCAGCTCCTGGGGGGTCCCCATACCATCTTGCCGGCTCCTGCGAACCGACGGCGTCGACGCTTGACGACGCCACATCGACGCCAACCGACGCGAAATCGACGCTATTCAACGCTAGCCGACGCTAAGTTGTCGCTAGCTCATCGGCTCCCATACGCTAAATCGACACCTGTCGACGCCAGAGACGGAGCTGCGAGGGCACACAAAGGCTCCCACGACCTGCCGGCAAGACCACACGGCTGGATGGCGAGCGTTGCTCGTCGAGTGGGCTGCGCAGCTTTGCCTGCGGCCGCGGGGGCAGAGGCCGGCCCGCGCAAAGGCCAGGCCGCCGAAGAAACTTCCGGCGCTACCAACCGATGCTGTCGATACGGAAATGTTTTCACGCCGTACTCCCAAAACAACGAATGGTGCACAACATCTCAATAGCATGTGAGATACCCGCACTCGGACAAAACAATACACAAGCAAAGAACACAGCACACAACCGCAGCTGGAATGCTGTGCCGAGCCATGCCCGCGCGCCGCGCCGTGATTAGGAAATGCGAGCACGTGACGAGAGGAACCGTGTCCAAAATCAATCTGCGAGCATGCCGTGGAGTGCCGTGCCTGCGTGTCGTGCGTAGTGACGCGCCCACGCATGTCGATATTGACTCGCTTAGTGTCGTGCCCATTCGTCATCGAATGCGAAAGATGTGCGGGGCCCAACCATGTCGATATTGATTCTCCGGGTGTCGTCTCGTGCTGAGGTGTTTGTAGGGTCCAATGCCGGTGCATGTGTCGATCATCCTGGACGTCCCGGATCATTCCGTGGAAGGCCTTCAAATGAGTAGCGTGTTCGGCCGCATGCGACGCACCTAGAACGTCACATACAAGCATCAACGCAAGCACAGTATCAACACAAGTGGTCTAACACACGTCTGCCGTTGCATAAGTGTAACGATGTGCAATACAGACGAGCATAAAAGATATCCATGGGTTGCTGAACGTCGTCAAACACGGAGCCGCGGGGAGGCGAAAACGCGCGCGTCGTCCACATCTCCCGCGCCCTTGGCCGCCAGCGCCTCAAAGAAGCAACGTGCTGGAACCAATATAAGATCAAAACGATGCGGGACTGACGGGTAGACCAGCATGTCCCCAAAAGTATACGCTTGGACAAAGTATCTCACCGATCCGCGATGCAAAACTCCAGCCCCAGTAATTACAAACCGCGAGCGGGGGAGAACTGCAGGGAACACCTATGAAGGCAGCAGCGGCGCAGACCCGATGGTAGCCGTGTGCCTGCTCTGGTACACGCACACGAGAGGAGGACATAAAAACGGTGCGGGCTCGATCATAGCCACGCACCTGCTCCAACGGCACAGCTTCGAAAACAATTCATGTAATCGCGACGGGTCTTCCATCATCCCGCACCGATACTGGGACAAAACTACATATTGCGCGGACTTATTGACGGATTGGAGCCCCAACGGTACTGAGAGCACACTTATTCCCCCGCGGCGGTCACCGCTGATGATCGAGGAGGGATAGGACCCCTCATGGTGATGATGGTACTGATGATGACGATTTGTGTAGCAATGGTCCAACGGATCCACCGCCGCCAGACTGGCGGCAAGCTCCCGACGCCGCAAACGGCGGCCTCGAGTCCTCGATGTCATCGATGTACTCAAGCTCGAAGATGCCGTCCTTGAAGCCATCGAAGCTCCAGCTTCTTGTTCGCCAGCGTCTTGGGTCTCGGCCGCGTGTAGGCCTGCGCCCACGCTGAGCTGCCAGGCTGCGTCGCCCTCCTGATCCGCGCCACTTTCTTGGTCCCGGACTGCTTGAGGATGCCGCTGCACGGCTTGGCGAGGTCCTTCATGACTTCCTTCGCGAAGCAGCCGCAGGCCGTGCAGCAGTGGACCTCCACATTCGCGTCGTACTCTGCGAGGTGCGTCTCGCGCGCCTTCTGCAAGCCCACCTGGACATCTTGGCTTAGCTTCGCGCCGGAAGGCGACGCCTTCATTGCCACCATCTCCACGCATGACTCCTGCAACCAAGATCAGTTGTTGCTCCGGTTCCCTCGCTCCTCACTGCTCGCGCTTGAAAAACTCCGCGCTCGGGTCCCACATGATGACGTGTTTGGTGTCCGCGACGACCAGCTTGCGCTTCTCGAGCTTCCTCTTCCCATCATTGAGTTCCTTGGCGGCGGGTTGCTGGGATGGCTCCTTTTCCATCGCCGCCATGGGCGTCGCAACCTCCTCCGCGAACCTGATCTTCCGCACCTCGTTCTGGGGGACCTTAACCTCCCCCGCGGTGCCCTCCACGAACTCGTCGGCGAGGTGGTTGCCCATGATATCGCCCATGTCGACTCCCGCCACCATCACATCCGTCGCCGACATGTGGCTCTCGATCTTCGCGACCACAATATCATTCAACTTGGCCACTTCGCGGTACCGCTTCCAAATTCTTGTGCGTCGTGGGTATCTTTCCATTGCGAATCCGATCCGCTCCTTGGGTAACGTAGCTAGGGTCCGTGAGGTACTTGATCTTCGTGTGCGGCTGCAAGTGCTCCAATATCTCGACCATCGCTGTGAGCTCGCCCCAGTTGACATTCTGCCGCCAACCCGCCAAGCCACCTCGGCCGCCCATGGTGAACCTGTCTTCGTTCAGCTCCGAGTTGAATACCATCCAGCCCCACGCGATCCCTCTCGTCCCCGGGGCATCGGTGTTCTCGCCCCCCGATGCGTCGCCTGCCGTGTAGACCCACTCGTGGAAATCCATGTGGGCCTCTCCGACCACTTCACGCAACTCTCCTCCTGGCTCGGGTGGTGCCGCGACCTGCGTCCAGCTCTTGGGCAAAATGCCTCTGAGCCGCAGCCACGGCTGGATCTAGTCCCTTACGTCGGCCTTCTCCTCCAAGCGGTAGGAGTTCTCGCACTCGGGGATCATGATGTGTATGCTACGACGATGATGTTGGGATGGACGAGGATGGGGGGGACGAGTTAGATTCCCAGCCAAAAGGGGGCAGGCCCTGAACATTAAAGACCTACTGCGGTTATGAAGGGCGACTCCCGCAAGACAAGTGCACAACGGGGGTGGCGGTCAGAAGGGAGGGGGGAGGGAACTGCTGGGAGGTCTTCGTCGGAAAGAGTAAAGAGGATTAAGCCCCGCTGGGCGGCTGTTACGCCGGAGTGGGCCCGAAATTAAGCGGGATCAAGCCGGATTGAGCGGGATTTAGCGGGATTAAGCGGGGTAAAACCGGATTAAGCCGGATTAAGCGGGACTAAGCTGGATTAAGCCGGACTTCGGACCAGGGCAAAATCAGAATTTGACCTCCCAGGAGTTGGATCCGAAAGAAGGGAGGGGGGAGGGAAGAGGCTTCCAGACATCCGATGGACTGTCCTCTCGACCTACTGCGGTTATGAAGGGCGACTCCCGACAGAGAAGTGCACAACGGGGGGGGCGGCCAGAAGGGAGGGGGGAGGGAAGAGGATTCTGGGTCTGGGTGTGGTACATAAGTGGCTGGACCGTGGTTACTACCTTCAATTGATTGGGCGACAATGTTTGCCGTGCAATTTCGTGTCACTGAGGACGTGTCCAAGGTGAAGTACCCCAGTCTGTGTGTGGGGGAGGGACGAGGCTTCCAGACGTCCGATGGCTTGCTTTTTAAGTCGGGCATGTCCCCCTACTACAGGGGGAGTTGGGACGAAAAGTAAAATAGTCAAAGAATACCCTGAAATACTCAAACAAGGTCAACAAAAACCAGACCATTGTCTGGTTATGTTTTAAAATCTCCTCCTGGAGAGGGACAGGCCCGACTTGAGGCTTGCTCTCTCGACCCGCAGGCTGCGCCGCCTCGACCGTCCTTCCCCGCGACGCCGTCCCTTCGCTCCGGGGGCCAGGTGCTGAGGGCCTCCGAGCCCCGCTCGGGTCGGGCGAAAGGGGGGGATAGCAAAGGGGGGGGGGTGAGAATCAGCTCACGCAGCTGATCTTCCCGGCGCCTCCCGGCGTCGGAGGCGACCATGCATCGAGGAATGGGCCCCTCGGTAAGGCCGAAACCAGCTGCATGCAGCAAATTTCGTTTTGGACGCCCTGAATGGGTACGATGCCCAACAGCAGTTCCTGTTCATTTTGAACAGGACTCGCCGTCCGCGCCGCCGCGGCCTGTGTCCATTCGAGACAGAAGGCCGCCTGCCCACCAGCGGCCGCTGTTGGATTGGGACAACATTTGTTGTTGGGCATCGCACCCATTCTTTCCGTACCCAGTTCGGGCGTCCAAATTCGTACCCCCCCCCTTTCCCAATCCCCCCCTGTCGTTCGGCCCGACCTTCGCTCCGGGGGCCAGGTGCTGAGGGCCTCCGAGCTCCGCACACGGCCCCCGGAGGCCGAATTCTCGAGGGAAGGCCAAGGGGACTCCGACCGTCGATCCACCAGGAAGCCCAAGCCAAAGAGGTCGGGCATGTCCCCCTACGGGCGGATTTGGGGCGATTTTTGCTAGGGGAAAACAAACAGATACCCCGGAAGATTTCCAACAGCTATTCTAAAAATCCTCCCCAGACTGTTGTTTCACTATCTGTGGAGATTCCCCCTGTAGAGGGGCCGGCCCGACAGAACCCAAGCCTGCTTCGGGGGAGGGCGACGGAGCCCACCGACTCCCGCATGGGAGCGCCGGGCGAGACGGCGCCCACGCTCGCGGGCACGGAGGAGGGCGCGGCGAAGAACGGGGGCAGGCAGGAGAGAAGGGTGGAGTGGAGGAGGGGGCGGAGAAGGGGAGGAGTGGAGAAGGGTGGAGTGGAGTGGAGTGGAGAAGGGTGGAGTGGAGGAGCGGAAGGGGAAGGAGAGAAGGGTGGAGTGGAGAAGGAGAGAAGGGTGGAGTGGAGAAGGGTGGAGTGGAGGAGTGGAGGAGTGGAAGGGGAGAAGTGGACGAGCGCGCGTGTCACGACTCGCAAAGCAACTACTCGCAAGGGGCCCGGGTACCCCGCGGGGGATCCACGACACATAACATCAGAGCCGGCATCTGTTTTTGCCGGACGCTTGCGAGTAGGCACTTTGCGAGCAGTGGAACGCGCTCGGTGAAGAAGGGGGAGGGCAGGAGGGGGAGGGCAGGAGGGGGAGGGCAGGAGGGGTCGGCGAGGCAAGCAGGGAAAGGGGAGGGGGGGGAGGGCGCGCTCACGGAGCCGGCGGGATAGAGCGGGCGGAGAGGAGCGGACGACGCCCCCATCCCCCGCAGGAGGGAGGAGGGCAGGGTGGTGGCCGCGGCTCGCCGCCTTCCGGGGCCGGGGCGCCGCCGGTGTTGGCGTAGGCCGCCTGGCCCACCTGCGGGGGGGGGTGCCCGGCGAGGCCGCCGCGACGCGCGGACCTACCAGCCTGGCGATTTGGATTACAGGTCGGACTTCATTGTATTGGACAGGACACGCGAGAGGACAAGAAGACCCTTCTGAGGGTCACATTGCCGTAGGAATGCAGAGGGCACGGGTCGCGAGACACAGGACACAGAAATACCCTTGATTTGGCAAGGTCGACCTACTAATCCGGGCCGACTGTACACTCGACCAGGATAGTAAGGATGTGCGGTAAAGATGCAAAGGCCTTGGAACGCCATATTGACGTTTTCCGTGAGTGCGCAGCATAATGCCGAAGGATGTCGAATACCGAAGGGGCAGGGATGCAAGGGTAGCCTTGGAAAGTTGCCCCATCCTTACTATCATGGATGACTGTAACCACTTTCAGGCTTCCCTTGGATATCGTTTCAAGGGCTGGCTTCTGGGTCGGGGCGTCTTCTACCAACGCATCTCCCTCAATCTCCTCATCCTGCTCATGCCTGTCTGCTCCTCCTCATGCTTCTTCTCCTCCTCGTTCTCCTCCTCCTCCTCCTCCTCCTCCTCCTCTTCCCGCTCGTTCTTCCTCCCCGTGCTACACCTATCGACCCTCCTCCTCCACCTCCTCCACCACTGATCCTCCTCTTGTTCATTACATGTCACACTGCAGCAAGGCCAAGGCTAGCCCCTCCGAACCTTCATCAGCTCGTCCTGGAGGTCCTTGGTCATCTTCTTCAGAAGCTCGGTGTCCGGTTCAGCCTCGGCCACCTTCTCCTTCAGTGCTGCCACCTTGGGGTCGATCGTCGCTTTCAGGTCGGCGGGGACCTTGTCACCGAGCTCCTGCAGCTGCTTCTCGGTCTGGTAAACCAGAGACTCAGCCTGGTTCTTTGTCTCTACGGAATCCTCTGGCGCGTCTGAAGCAAACAAGTTATCGATGGGAGCGATACCTAAGAGTAGACACTGTCCGACACTGGGAAGGATTGATGGATGGGCGAACGACGCTCGCCGCTGAACAGAAACGCTCGCTGTGAAGACGACGCCGAATACTGCCCTACATCAATGAGATGTCAAGGTATCCGACCAACCAATCCACTCATGCTGCTGAGGCAAGGGGGTTCCGCTTCGCGCAAATCAGTGCTATGCAACCCGCGGGCACCCGTGTCCCTCCATCAGTTTGCGCGGGTGTCCAAGTCTACTGTTAGGTCGGGCCCGTCCCCCCTACAGGGAAATGTTGGACGAACATTTTAAAAAGTACGTAACAAAATGCTCAAAAGATGCCCCCCAAAGACTCACAAAATAGTCCCCGTATCATTTTCGGACTGTTTTTGAATCTTTCCCCCTGTAGAGGGACAGTCGGCGGTGGACAAGCCTCCCTCTAGTAAACCTACCCTTCGTGAAAACGGCCTGGGACCGAGAACGACGGACATGGACCCGCAAAAATGACGGCCGCGACGCCCTCTCGCGAACCGAAAACGGCCAAGTCCTTAATCGACGTGTCAGGGTAGGAGGTCTATCCACCTCCGAGTAAATTACGCCAGGTTCGCGCTCCCGATGCCGGAATCCTTGAAAACTGACAGACTCGTGCTCCCCAGGCCCGAATCCATTGAACGCGCTCCCATGCCTATCCCCCCCCCTATGCCTATATCCCCCCTATGCCTATATCCCCCCTATGCCTATCCCCTACGCCTATCCCTTCTGCGCCTGTCCACCCCCCACTGTAGCGGGGCAGGCCCGACGCAAAAGCCTGCTGGCGGGGGCAGTCCGGACGGGGCCGAGGGCACGCGGAGAAGGGCGGGGGCCTCGCCAGGCCGTGGCCCACGCGGGCGGGGTCGAGCAGTGGCGCCAGGGCTGGCTTGAAGTCGGGCCTGTTCTAGGGGAACAACAAGTGACATAAGCATAAAAGCTCGGCGTAACTGTAGGGAGACAGGCCCGACTTAACTGTAGGGGGACAGGTCCGACTTAACTGTAGGGGGATAGGGGAACAAAAAGTGGCATAAACATAAAAGCTCGGAGGTCTGCGCGGATTTCTCGGATCGGCGCTGGACCCCCCTCCCTGGCGCGCGGAGCGCGCCAGCGGCGCCGCCGGAGGAACCGCCGGGGGGCCCCAGCGCCGATCCAAGAAATCCGCGCGGAGCTCCGAGTCTTGTTTATGCCACTTTTTGTTTCCCTATGTCCCCCTACAGTTAAGTCGGGCCTGTCCCCCTACGGGCCGATTTGGAACGACAAATACCCCAAACATACACTAAAAATGCTCAAGAATGATAAACCAAAATAGTCCCCAGACTACTTTGTAGCTATTTGTAAATCTTCCCCTGTAGAGGGACAGGCCCGACTCAAGGCTGGCTTTAAGTCGGGCCTGTCCCCCCACAGGGGGATTCTGGACGAAAAATACCACATAGTCAAAAATATACAAAAATGGCCAACATATCATGCCCGGACTATGTTTTGACTATTTTCGATGATCCCGTCTGTAGAGGGACAGGCCCGACTTAGGGCTGGCTTGCACAACAACTGCCTCGCGCTTGGACGGGCATCTGGCAAGCATGGTGCAAAGCTGCCGGCCTGCCATCTGGGCCGCCCACGAGAAGATCTTAGGCCATCGTGGACGACTGAGGAGCCATGTTTGAGCCATCTGGGAGACCTGCCGAGGCGAAAGCTGGGTGCTACGCGCGCTGGCCTCGTGGCGTCGGGTCGTCTGCATGGGCTGACCCATTCTGCCGGGCGAAGTCCTCCCCATGGGGTCAAGATGGCAGTCGATAACTGCAACACTCGGGTCGGGCGAAAGGGGGGGATAGCAAAGGGGGGGGAGAATCGGCTCACGTAGCTGATTTTCAAGGCGCCTCCCGGCGCCGGAGGCGGCTGTGTATCGAGGAATGGGCCGCTCGGTGGGGCCGAAACCAGCTGCATGCAGCAGATTTCGTAACACCCCCCCTTTCTCTCCCCCCCTTTCGCTCGGTCCGAAACACGCATCCGTATCGCCTTGAATGGCCTCCGCAATGCACAAGGTTTCCACAAGGCGTCCAGAAGATCACCCATCACACGGCACGAGGTGTCCAAAGAGTCCTCCTATAAAGGATGCCACAAAAAGGCCGAGGGGATGACGGGTGTTTGCCGAGGTGTGCCTTCTTGGCGTTTCCGTGTTTCGGTCTGAGTGGCACTTGAGACCTAACCGAAACCCCAGGATGACGCAGTTGAGCCTCAACAAGCAGAGCATCAACAATTGGACAGGCTAAGGTCGAACTGAAGCAGAGCGGACAAAACAAAACAGACTGCAGCAACTACATTATCTTTATCATTATTCTCTTAAGCTGCATGCAAGCAAACTCTGCAGTCGGGCAATTCAACACAATAGCAAACTAGCGGAAAGCGGCAAGGCTAGTTGAGGAACCTGGGCGAGAGGATTCCTGGCCTTCAGGAACCAGAAGGGGGGGTGGTTCATCGAGGAATCAGAAGTAGCGGAAGCGCCAACCCTGAGCTCCCTTGCTCAGCAAACACTCGGCCCGTGATAACCTTGAATTACGTGAGCCCCACCGTTATGCTCAGTTGTGAGAATGAGCTGCAGCCGAAAGGCGCGTTGCAGAACTGAAGCTACGGGAATGGCGCGCAAATCACACAGCCTCTTCACCGACCCGGCAGCCTCGCGAAACAGACAGTCGCATGGACGCGCACGCAAGGTGGCTGCAACGACGGAGTGGGCTCTGGATGTCTGCCGCCTTCTCGAACCTGGGGAGACCAAAAGGTACCCATACCGCTACTCCCCAGACCTCTCCCGGGGTGCGCTCTGACCAGGATTTCGAAGCGAATCCAGCGGTGACGACGAGGGCCTCGCACCAGGCCGAAAAACGGGAAAACGGGCGGGGGGGTAGAGGTATGTGTACCTTGTCCTCCTCTGAGAATTTGGACGCCCGAAATGGGTACGGAAAGAATGGGAGCAATGCCCAACAACAAATGCTGTCCCAAGCCAACAGCGGCCGCTGTTGGGCAGGCGGCCTTCTGTCTCGAATGGACACAGGCCGCGGCGGCGTGGACGGCGAGTCCTGTTCAAAATGAACAGGAACTGCTGTTGGGTATTGTGCCCATTCTTTCCGCCAGACCTTGGCCGACGACGATCCGCCAGACCTTGGCCGACGACGATCCGACGCGCGGGGGTCTGCAGAACTTCCCGTGCAGCTCGCCGATCCCGCCCGCCCACGCCCGCTCTGCCCGTCGAGCCGAGGCCGACGCGGACCCGCACCCCCTCCGCACGGCCCGCCCCCCTCGCATCCGACGGCATGGAGACAGTCGGGCCGGGCGAAAGGGGGGGATAGCAAAGGGGGGGTTTGAGAATCAGCTAACGTAGCTGAGTTTCCTGGCGCCTCCCGGCGCTGGAGGCGGCCACGTATCGAGAAATGGGCCCCTCGGTGGGGCTGAAACCACCTGCATACAGCGGATTTCGACCCCCCCCTTTCCCAATCCCCCCCTTTCGTTCGGCCCGAGACATCCAAGCGCCCTGAGCAGAGCACAACCGCAGCCTTATGCACCTCCTCTGTGTGCGTTGAGCAGGGACCGACCGTCCCAGCATTCATATAGTCCTGCCAAGAAGTGTTCGTAGAACCCCAACATGTTCTAAGAACAAAAGCAGTGTTCTTAGAACATCAACCCGATATGTTAAAACAAGACAGTCCCAGCCAGAAATGGTCTAAGAACAGTTCGTGGGAACCACAAAAAGGTTCTTAGAACATTGTTTGGTAGGGCTGTAGTCGGGGATGGACAGAACCCCCTTCTTTTCTTTCCGAGGCCACTGAGCACACATGTGCTAGGCGAACAGACTGGAAAAGGAGGGTGTCACGCAGCGCAAATACGCTTGCGTTGACCTGAGCATCGGTTCAACAACTTGCGTGAAACGTAAAAGGCAACGTCATCTAAAGCAACGCTCTCGGGCCCAAATCTGGCGGGCGAAAGCCTGGAAACTGACGGCCACGGCGCCCTCTCGAGAACCGAAAACGGACAATTCACTAATCGACGTGTCACTATTGGGGGTTCTGTCCAGCCCCGATGTAGGCGAGCCAAGACGCTTCGCCTCTGCTTGACTTCTGCAACTCCTCTGTGTGCGGGGTTCCTCGAGCCGCATCGACCCGTGAGGGCCCCGGACCACGAAACTGGACGCAAAACAATCACGCTGCTTCGGACGCCCTGACTCCTTCTGCTCGGCGCGCCCTTGGCATCAGAGCGGTCGGAACAAGAAAGGGATCTCACGTGAGGGGGCGACGCGGTGGCATACACAGGCCGCGAACTCGCCACACCGAACAGACGAGAGCGCACTTACGCGCAACCTAACGCGGGCTGCTTTACGCGCGAGTGTCCATGTGCACAATGCCTCCCCTCCATATGCATATATACATGTAGATACACAGAAATCTGGCGTACTCTCTCTCTCTCTCTCTCCCTCTCCCTCTCTCTGCTCCACAACACCCCCCGAGAAACGCAGTGGCATGTCGACCCGGCTTCAGCCGTGGCAACTGGGATGCCATGCCTGGGCTCGCGCCTCAGAGCCTCGAGCAGAGGGCGGGGAGCGGGGGACGGGAGGAAAACCTGAGGAAAGGTAGTGGAGAGGCGGACAGGAGGAGGGCATCGAGGAGGAGGGGGGGGAAGGGCAAAGACGACAGGAATAGCCAGGTGGATGGGGAGGAACGAGAAGACGAGAAGAGAGAAGAGGATTGTACGGAGTGGAGGAGCGGACAGGGCAGGGGAGAGGAGAAAGGATAGACACACTAGGAGGGGGGGAAAGGGAGAGAGGACCTGGGACTCTAAAAAGGACCCCTATCGTGAAATGCGCAACAAGGAAACATGGAGCTGCGTACACTGGAGGAGGTGGAGGATGCAGGGGAGGATGAGCAGGAGGAGAACCAGGGCAAGGAAGACGGAGGACGAGGACGAACAGCGGAGCAAGAGCTGGAGTGACACCATAAGAACACTCAATGCTTGAACTCCTGGGCAAAACATATGTAATTACACGGAAGGGCCGGAAATCTTGGAGTCGACTGGGAACGGGCGAACCTAGGAGAGGAGGGGGAGACAGGGGGAGGACGGGACAGAGGAGGGGGCACGGAAGGCGGCGGGAAATGTATGCCGCGACTTCGCTTTCGGCCGCCCCAACGGTCCTTGCGCTTCTCGTCGTCCGCGGCGTTCGCCTCCGCGTCCTTCACCATCCTGTCGACGTCTTCCTTGTCGACTCCTCCTCCTTCTCAGCCTCCTCCTCCTCGTGTCCCTCCCCCTCCTCCTGCGCCCTTCAGCCAGGGGTACGGCAGGTCATCTGCCAAGTCAATGTTGAACCAATCCCTCCTGCTCCTCCTTCACCAAATCCCTCCTCCTCGTCCTCTTCGGCATCTGCCTGCCGTCCCTGGTTCTCTGCCTTCTCCTCCTCGTCCTCCCTCGACGCTCATCTTCCGCCCTGCTTCTCCTCCTCGTCCGTCCACCCTCCCCGTCCTCCTCTTCCGCTTACAACTCCTCCTCCACTCTCCCCTCGCCCCTCACATTCTCTCGATCCTCCGTCCTCTCCCCGCCATATTTCTCTTCGTGTTCCTCCTGCTCCTCCTCCTGCTTCTCCTCCTCCAACCCCCGGCCTCCTGCTCCTCCTGCTCCTCCTCCTCCTCCCCCTCCTCCTCCTCCTCCTCCTCCTCCTCCTCCTCCTCCTCCTCCTCCTCCTCCTCCTCCCCCTCCCCCTCCTCCTCCTCCTCCTCCTCCTCCTCCTCCTCCTTCCTCCTCCTCCTCCTCCTCCTCCTCCTCCTCCTCCTCCTCCTCCTCCTCCTCCTCCCCCTCCTCCTCGTCCTCCTCCTCCTCTCCTCCTCCTCCCTCCTCCTCCCTCTCCTTCTCCTCCTTCTCCTCCTCCCCCTCCTCCTCCTCCTCCGCCTGCTCCTCCTCCTCCTCCGCCCCCTCTTCTCCTCCTCCTCTCCTCCTCCTCCTCCTCCTCCCTCCTCCTCCTCCGCCTTCCCCGCCATCCTCCTTCCCCCCCTCCTCCTCCTCCTCCTCCCCCTCCGCCCCCTCCTCCTCCTCCTCCTCCTCCTCCTCCTCCTCCTCCTCATCCTCCCCCTCCGCCCCTCCTCCTCCTCCTCCTCCCCTCCTCCTCCTCCTCCTCCTCCTCCTCCTTCCCCCGCCCTCCTACCTCCTCCCTCCTCCCATCCCCTCCCCCTCCTCACACATTCTCATTCTCATGCCGGCCCCGCGGGGCCGCAGCTCGGCACGAGCTCCTGCGGCACGAGGGCCGCAGGGACGAAGACAAGGCGGGACCAGGCCTGCTCAGGATCCCGCGCGCTGCCAGCCAGGCCACACTTTCACAACGCCTCCTCCTCCTCATCCACCTCCTCCTCATACCTCCCCTACCTCCTCCTCATCCTCCCCATCCTCCTCATCCTCCCCCACCTCCTCCTCATACTCCCCCTCCTCCTCATCCTCCCCCTCCTCCTACTCCTCCTCTTCACCCTCCTCCTCTCCCTCCTCCTCCATGATCGACTAATCCTCCATGTGCCCCTGGGCACGGAGTGGGCGTGTCCTCACGTCCTGTGCGTGATCCTCTATGCCTCAGTCCTCACTCCTGAGGCTCAGCAGACCACCTGGGCTCAGGCCTCGGGTCTTGGCTCCCCCACGATCGACTAAGTTACTGGCCGAGAGCGCCAGGGAGAATTGAAAGACTGAGTCTCGACCAGGGTTTGGCGCAGCCAAACCCTGGGGGGGGGGGGGGGGGGCTGCCACCAGACTGGCGGCAGCCCCCGCGGTGCCCGCCGTGGAGCCTGCCCCGCGGCGCCGAGCGTCCGGCTCTGCGACCTGGCACCCCGCTGCCAGGGCGTAGGCTGAAGTCCGGCCTGTCCCCCTCCCGGGGGACTTTGGACGAAACATAACAAATAGTCAAACAATACTCCCAAATTCGCAACAATAGTCAAAAAATCGTCCCCTGACAATTTTTTGACTACTTACGAGTATCCCTCCTGTAGAGGGACAGGACCGACTTAAGCGTAGACTCGCATCAAAGGGCGGCCTCGAGCGCCCGATCAGCGCCAGGATCTGCCTTTGGACCCCACCTCGAAGATGTGATCCTGCAGGACGTCGAAGTCAATCAGCCCTGACTCCGACTCGCATCGCTGCCTCTGCACTTGTCATTGTGGCGTTCCACTGGATGAAGCCCCGCAGGGGAGGCGGTCTGGGACCCGGCCCCGCCCTCCATCCGCTGGGGCACTGGGCCAACGATGCCCCACTCCACCCGGGCAACGGATCACCGGGTCCTCCTGCTCCGCCCACTCCTCCTCCGCCCACTCCGCCCACTCCTCCTCCTCCTCCTCCTCCTCCTCCTCCTCCTCCTCCTCCTCCTCCTTCCCCCGCCCTCCTGACAGAACCACACGAGACCTCGAGCGGCAGCGGCCGTTGGAGCCCGGTCGCCCGCGGGCCGCGCGGGGTTCGCAGCAGCACCCGGAGCGCCGCCGCCGCACCACTGGTCGGCTCGCCTCCCAGAGCGCTCCAGGCAGCTGCCTTGTGGCGGCGGGCGAGGGGGGGGGGGAAGTGAGAAGGAGAGGGCCGTCTCAGAGGGCGGCGGCACTTCTCGGAAGCCCTCGCGCCTTCTGGGAGGCTTTTTGTGTCTTCGGGGGAGGCTCAGGACACTTCTCAGAGGCCGGGGGACCTCCGAGCCTTCCGAGAAGACCTTCTCCTGCTCATTCCCCCCCCCCTCACTCGCCGCCGAGTCGTCCCCGTCCTCGTCGACGAACCCGTCTGCGGTGCCAGGCGGGCGCCGCCACACCGAGGAGGCCGAGGAGCACTGAGACCCCGCGCTCGCCCAGGGCGGCCGCGGCCTCGCCCTCGCCGCCACCTCCCGGCGCCGTGCGCGGTTCCGGTCGGGGTCCCCGCCGGGCCTAGGGGTGGTCGCTTCGCTCCCGGCGCCACTGTGGAGACCGTTCTTTTTTTTGAATCGGCGAGAACCCGGGTTATCCCGGGGGGGGGAGGAGGAGGAGGAGGAGGAGGAGGAGGAGGAGGAGGAGGAGGAGGAGGAGGAGGAGGAGGAGGAGGAGGAGGAGGAGGAGGAGGAGGAGGAGGAGGAGGAGGAGGAGGAGGAGGAGGAGGAGGGGGCCGGCCGATGACCTAACCCTCGCGCTGTGGGCAGCCCTGCATTTGCCCGCGCCCCCCCCTCCCGCGGACCTGCACAACCGGCAAGGTTAGGTTATCCTGGGGGGGGGCGGGGGGGGCAAACCCGCTAACCCAGGTCATGGCTCGACCCTAAAAAAACAGTCTCGTGTCCACGCCCCGTGCGTCGGGCGTCGGCGTGGAGGGCGGCGTTGCGCCGCAGGCGCTCTGACCATGTGGGGTGGTCCCCCCAGCAGCTTGGCCTGCCGCGCGGGGGGGGCATCGCCTGCAGCCTCTGCGCGACCTCGCCGCCACCGACGACGGCGCACAAAGCCTCGTCCGTGGCCTCCTGGGAGCCTCACGACGGGGTCGCCAGCCGATCGTTTCGCCGACTGTCGGCCAGCCCTTCCCTGGGCCGCCGATCGCCTCGGCGCGACCTCCGAGCCATCCTGTGCCATCCGAGCCATCCTGTGCCACCTCCGAGCACGCCAGAGAACTCCCCTCTGCTGCCGACGCAAGACATTCCGAGCGACTTTGGGCTACGGAGCGTTCATCCGCTGGTGTATGGCATGAGCCAAAATGGCTACGGAACGCCCTCCTCTTTCTCGTCCTCCTTCTCCTCGTCCTCCTTCCCCAACCCCTATCCTCCCACCGCGCCCTGGCATCCTCCTTCCCTTGCCTCCTCCTCCCCCCCCTCCTGCCCCCCTGTCCCTCCTCCTCCTCCTCCTCTCTTCCGGAAGGCGGAGGAGCAAGGGAAAAGGAAGAATGACAGGGGGGAAGGAGAAATGGGCGAGGTGGGGAGTCGCCCTCCTCCTCCATTTCCTGGCCCCCCCTGTCGGCATCGTCCTTGTCGAGCGTCGTCGAGCCGGTGATGGTGATGGTCTGCTCCTTGCCCGTGCCGCGGTCCTCGGTCCAGGCACGGGGCGGCCAGCAAGCAACGGGATAGGGCAAGATGGCGAGATCTGCCCCCCACCCCCCGTCTACAACAGTCTCCTCCTCCCCGTCCTCTTCCAAGTCCTCCCCCCTTCCTTCCCTCTTCTTTTTCCGCCTCCCCCTCTTGTTTCTCCCTTCGCCATGCTGCTCCGCCTCCCTCTGGAAAGGGGAGAGGCTTTTAAGAAAACGAAAATGAGGAGGAGGATAGGAAAAGGGGACGGGGGCGATGAGGAACAGGACAACGAGGACCAGAAGGACGAGTGGGAGGGACAGGGAGAGAAGGGGAACAGACAGGGGGTGGAGGAAAGGGTAGAGGTGGAGGAGGATAAGGACGGGATGAACACGGGACGGACGATGGAGGAGCGGACAATCAGGGGAGAAAAGCGGCTGAGGATGACGAGGAAAAACGGGGGGTTCGATGACCATGAACTGGAGCTGGTGGGTGACAGCCTCCTTCCCTCTGGTCCTCCTCTCATCCACCTCCTCCTGGCCAGTGTCCTCCTGGCCATCCTCATGTTCCTTCTTTTGGCGACGTTATCGTGAAGGGCCAAGGGCAAAGGGAAACAGGGTCCTGAGGTAGACCAGCCCTGGACCATGGGTGGTTATTTTCATGGG